ATTATTTGTTGTTTAAATTCCTCTGGCTGTTTGCAATTTGCAGTGTGATGAGAGATTACAGGTTCCTTCTTCAACTCTGCAACTTCAATCTGCAACTTCAGATTTTGCTTATGCAGTTTGTTATCCAAGAGCCCTGATGAGTTTTGTGGCTTATGTTGCCGCTTCTTCCTTGATTGATTTTCGCCTATAAATAGCTAGTTCTACCCATAATCATGACATAATTGAAACTGTAACTACTTTAATTCTAAATGGCCCAATGGAGAGTCTTTCAAGCTGCTTAATATCTCCCTGGCAGTGTGAATACTAGCGTGCATGTGAATAATATAATTATGTAATATATACTAGTGGTTCAGTATATTATATATTCTATATAATAGCTGTTGTGATGACACTTGAAATCTACTCAGGTTCTACATATAGGACTATAGGAAGGAATCTGGTACAGGTTGATTTGGTCTTAAGTACTGTCCATGTAACACAGATTTGTATAAACTATTTTCTAGTGGTGTCAGAGAAAACTCCTCAGCAGTCCCAAATACCCCTTACTTGTGGTGGTGGCAGTGGGATTGTGCAGAGCACACAAATGCTTGTTTTAAAATCTGAACAAGCTAAACTACAGAAAGAAAATTTGCAGCTGAAGAAACAAAATGACCTGCTGCTAAGGTAAGCACAAAGCTGATGAGGAGCCTGTCAAATATTTTTTGTTGCTATTTTCCTATGCATGCTGTTAACTGTTTCTTAATGGGAAATCCATAGAAGTGAGTAACTAATTTAAATCTAGCTGTAAGACCTAAAAGAATCTAGTGAATCTAAATCTCTATCAGTCTGGCTTTGAACTTTAAACTGCTTCCTTTTGTAACAACTCCTTTAAAAATAGGTTTATCAAAAGCCAGAGAACATAACTTGTTCTTGTCTTTGTTTTTCCTTCACCAGAATAAACTAGTTCAGATTTTTCTCTTTGCTATGTGTTCTTCCTTTTTTCCCTATTCAGTAATGAGCTTCAACTGAAAGAGGAACTTAGAAAATGGAAAGAAAGAGCACTAAAACTGAAAGAACGATCCTCAAGAGAAACCACTCGGGAGACAATACCAAGGTCTCCAAGGAAAACAGTGCCATACTCTCTTAAAGAGCAAATGCCTTCTCCCTCCAAGGAACCTATTTCTCAGGAAATTGTGACTCAGGACATATCAAAGCCTCTGCCACTAACTTATCCAACGAATTTCTTCGATAATTCCAACTTAGGTACACTAACAGGTACATAACGCAGTATTGTCCTCTTATTAAGATTAGCAGGGACAAAATATAAAGGTCGTTCTGTGAACGAGAGTAGGTGACCTGTACTTTCTCTATTCAAACCTGAAACTTGCGCAGTAAGACAACTTTTTTTGAGTGAAGCCATGAAGGTTATACATGTACTACAGATTCTAAATACCTAAATTGATCTTCAGGGGCTGAATGTCCAGGTTTTTTTTTTTTCCTTTTGCTGCAGTGGAAGTGTTGATAATTGCTTTAAAAGTTGAATAAGCAGGTTATCATATTACTGGACAGATGCTCTGGAATGTTTTGCTGCTTAACTTTGTTTAAGCACAGACTTCTGGCAGAATTGATTCTCATGGACCACTCTGTCATCTGTGCAGCGCTAACTGCCAGTTAACTGATTTCTAAACTTCTTTATTAAGATGGTAGATCTTGGTGTGTGGTGTTTTGTGTGTGTGTGGTTTTTTTTTTTTTCGGACATTGAATTTGCCAATCTGTCGTCTTCCAGCAGCAATAATAGTAGTTTTTATATCTTCCTTTCCCTCCCCTCATCCTTGCTCACAATTTATTTCTGCCCTAGTGACTTCTGGGCAAGTCTTCTAGTGGTCTGTACTAGCATATTAAAACTACTGCCTTCGTTGTTATGCTTTGTTTTAAAAACTTAGCAGCTCAGAATGTCATGTTCTTGTCTTTGAGATCAGAGGCAAGCTTTATAGTTGGTGTCTAAAACACTAGTCGGGATAAAATTGCTGTATTCCTACTGCTTGTACAACTGGGGAAGTTTACATGTTACTTTAACATTCTTGTCTTCTGAATAGATACGCGACCTGCAGGAATAGAGCCTACAGAGGAACACCTTAAGCACTGGTTTGGAACTTCAGAAAGAGATAAAGCCCCTGACTGTACCACCCAATAAAGGTGTTATCTGTAAGCTGTCTCTACAGTGCCTATACGGCCGGAATCTGCATACATAGAAGATAATTGCTTCAGGTTAAAAGCCATCAACCTCTTCTATAAACTGCAGAAAGAGCTCTGGTAGCATATAAATCCCTTGCTTCTTGGAGCTGCTACTTCCCATGGTTGGAAAAGCTGGAATAGGAACACACAAACAGAAAAGCAGTAATGTTGCCTGCAACTTGCTGATGCTGCAGCTCTACTTTGGTCATTCTTTGGATGGCAAAGATAGCAAAGCCTGTGTACTGAAGAGAAGATGGAAGCAGGTATGGATCAAAAAATCTACTGTGAAATTTCTCGATCTTAAACTTTTCATTCTGTCATTCATAAAATAGCCCTTCTTTAGGCTGTTGATTTTTGTATCTTTGAATGCTATTGAAGTGGAAAGAACTGTTCTCATTAGTTTTTGTTCCTCAGGATCTGTTTTTGTATCATGCTTTCATAAGACCATGGGAGTGGTGTTTTCACCACAATTTTAACCTTTCTATCTGGACACTGTAACTGAAATTACCAGTTTTTTGTTTATAGGGTGCACAATCAAGGTTTCATCTTCAAAATTCTTTACAATGCTTCAGCTCAGTCAGTTATGGTGCCAAGAATAACTCTGTATTTTGAATCATCTTTAAATATACATCCAGTTCCTGTGCAGAGTTGGACATCTGAATTTTTTTAATAATAAGGCATGGAGCTAACTGTTGACAGGCTTTCTGTTCACTACAGTAGCAGAAACAAACTGTGGGGAACTTGGGCTGCAAAGACTTAATATTTTACTATCCTACTTTTCTGCCTTGTAAGGCCTATTTCTTTTTGTATTTTCTGTATAAGGAGGTTTGTTTCATAATAAATTTAATGTGTTAAGTATTTAAAAATATTTTTGCTGGTCACTTTAATTTTGTGGAGAGAAGATGCTGATTAAGAATCTTAATTTCATCACTTCAATCATAATAATGTTTCTTTGTGTCCACTATCGCTTTTCTACTATAATCACTTTCTGCAGTGGTGTGTTTAAAGATTATATATAGTGTGTGTGTGTGTATATGTATTTTTTTCAATCTTTTCTCTGTCAGCAAATCTTTGAAGTGCAAAAGACTAAATTCGCCCCTGCTCCTCAGCTAAATAGGAATTTTGTGCTCAAAACTTGAGCTTCACTCCATGAAGAATGGAATCATTGTGAGATGACATAGTCACGGCTAACAAAAACACTTGCATCGAAAGCATGCATACTTATTTTACGGGAATGAAGATCTAAATGGTGCTAGGTATCTCCTTAAGTATTCCATTGTGGGTTAGCCAAATTTGTGAGCAAATGGTAATACTGTCATGTTCCTGAGCATGTAGCAATTACATATTTACTGAACACACTCAGGGTTTTTAAAGCTGTCTCTTTCTTGGAAGAGTTGCACAAGAGTTACTTACCTGACAGAAGTACTTCTGAGATCTTTACCGAAGACCCAGCTTTCCGTTTACCTTGAACTGCTGGTAACTGCCGATTACCAGGACTGCTAAGAAGTTTCAAGTGTTTGCTCTAAACCTTTGGAGGGTGTTTTGGAAAGCTTTTACAGAAACTGCTAGCCAACAATACACAAGTTCTAGATCCCATTAGTGAGTGTAGCGTTATGGTGCGTTGATTCACACCACAGCCATATATATGCAGGGGAGATTTTATTTCCCTGGCAGAGTGGCAAATGCAAAGTGTTACTTGCAACTTCCTTTGGCTGCCAGGCTCTCTTTTCATTCCCTCCACTCTAAAGTTGCAATAAATGACTAAAACTAAACCTGACTTTTTCCCTCCAGAAGGGAAATGAGTTATAGATCTGCCTTGTCCTTTGAGTTTCAAATGGTTTTCTTATTAATTCTTGCTTGCTGGAACATTTCCAGATTTAGAGATTTTTCTGGTGACCTGAGCTGAAGAAAAGGAGCCTATTACAATAGGTCCATGTCTAGATTCGATAGGTAAAAGCACAGGACTAGGAAGAGAAATGCTTTTAGAAACCTAGTCATTAAATATTTCTCAGTTACTGGGGAGATGACTTACAAAGCTAACAGTTCAGCAGAAATACAAAGTAAGTTTAATACTACTGAACTGCTTTTTGTGGCTTTGTTGTCATTTTTGTGTTTTTGTTTTTTTTTTTTTCTCCTAAGCTTACCTACAGCAGTAACTCTTCTGAGGGAAATGTGTTCAGGCAGGAGTCCGAATTTAAGAATACTATTAGAGTGCTTTGGTGTGAGCTGATAATTAAATTATTTTATCTTATAATTTTCCATTATATTAATTCTGCTTGAACAGATGCAAGCTAAAGTGTTATAAATTTGAAAAAAAGATAATATAAGTTGGTAAATTACCAAGTAAGGAAACAAAACTTCTCATGCAAGTATTGTCCTAGTTTGAATTTTGGTGACTGGCGTGGTTAAACAAAAACTGCCTTGGGGAAAAACACATTTTTTGTTGTGAGAATTCTGTTGACTTGTCGGGTTCCTTAAAGGGAGCTGACAGGTAATACTGGTAATCTCTTTCTTCCTCTTCCTTCCCCCCTCTCCCCCCCCTCCCATTCAGGAGAAAAATCTTACTCTTAATCTTCAATCTCACTAGATGGCAGCATCTCAATGTTTCAAAAGGAAATTACGCTGGTATAGAGAAACTTGTCAGCTGAAGTACAACTCCCAAGGAGCACAGCAAAAAGGCATAGAACTTCCGTTGGTACAAAGGGAGCTTCCGCTGGTACAAAGGTCAGTAAGTGTAGCACCTTGTTTGAGGTCTTCTGGTGAGTGATTATATTAATTGTTATTTTTTAAATGGTTCATTGTGTTAGTATCACTATGACGTGGGTTCAGAAAAACTGCTAGTTTGAGAAAAGTATTCCTGACACGTTTCACTTCCCAAGTGCATGAAGATGGTTTGAGGAAATACTTTGGCTGATCCGGATTTTTGTACTGAAAAGACTTATGTGACAGCGAAGGGTAATGAAGAACTTCCTGTGCCTTGAGTGAGCACTTTGAGGTGATTTTTCTGATACTTGGGACTCTTGCTAAAAATCAGTAGAGCTCTTCCCCAAATTTGGTATTAGAGCAGTTGTATTTTGCACAACTTAGTATGTTAGAGTTGAACAGTGCTATCTAGTCATGCTTGCAGTCTGATTTTGCTCCATTAGCTGACTTGGTACTTTTTCCCTCTAGCAATACAAAAGATATATTAAGACAGGGCTAACCTCATATTAGCCTACCCTCAGAGACATCCTAAGAGACATCTTTTTTACTAGCCAACCTAAAAAAGGATTTTAAGGTAGTGTGGTCTTTCCCCTAATTACAAAAGTGCGTCTTGGTTATTGCTTACCGATCTGTTTTCCTGCCACACACGCACGCTCAGCTATGGCAAAAAGCCTGCAAGGAGATGTTTCAGTGTCCCGAAACACAATGTATAGCTCAGTCTGACTTTAAATCAAATGAGATAACATTTTTTTTATATTAGAGTGGACAGAGAATTTTTAATTTACATTTCAAAATAAAAAGTCTGATATGTTGAATCTTAAACCTTCAGGAGAACATACACATTTTTCTGCAATTTTGTCAGGAAAGGCTTCTGAGAAAGCAGGCAATTTTTGGTCAAGATCAAGTGAATAACTTGGTTTCAGATGTGGTAGCCTAAATTCAAGTCACTAATCTGAGTCACAACATAGATTTGAGCTTCTCTAGACAATAACGTTAATTGCCAACCCAGAGGATGTTCTGATATCTGTATCTAACTTCTCAGTGAAGTACTAAATGTGTTGGATTCATGTGTTTATTTAAAAACACCATGCTTATGAGAAACCTTTCTGCACTCGTAGCTATATAAAGAAACTTTGCAGGTTTTGAAAGTGCGGAAAAGGTTGCTTATTCAGTTAACAAACACCAGAGATTGTGCTCTGACTGGAATACAGTAATCTTACTTTGTGAGGTAATGGTTTGAAACATCTTGCTCAGTAATTTAGTCCTTAAATAAGCAAGAAGCCTACTGAAACCTTTTTGGAATCTGTGGGAGTCAAATGATTCTATTTGCTTATACTTGTTTGTCTGCCTGCAACTTTCCATGCAGTATTTCTTTAAACATAACAAAACCCTTGAAAGGGTGTGCCTGGGCAGCACACATGACTGTGCTTTGCCTTCTGGCTGCTACCTATTGAGGAGGCGGTTTCCTCCTGAAGAGGAGGAAACTTACTTGCCTTACCCAGCACTCAACATTTTAATTCTTCTTTTTCTCCTACCCCTTGCTCCAAGCATGCTCAGTAATTCCCAGAGAATGAGCGAAGTGAGAGAGAGAGACAAGATAGAGTTTGACTCCCCCTTGCCCTATGGAGGAGGGAATCTGCAGTGCTGAGAGATTGCTAAGACAAGTCAGAGCAGATACAAAGGCTAGGCCGCAGAAACAGTGGAAAGAAAGACATTAAATGGAGTCCAGGAGGATGTTGTCCAGAATTTGTTGCAACCTAGGAAGTCAGGGTGTTTGGTTTGAGAGGAGGAAAAGAAAGGCCCACTTTGTAGGAACAAAACGGGCAATGGAGAAACTAATTTACAAGCTATTTTATTTCTATTCTGCTTCGTCTCGGATTTTCCTTGGTTCATGAAAAAGTATAGTTTCTATTATAATATAGCTTGCCTTGAGGTCAAACACCTTTTTGCCCTTTTTTTGGTCCTTACTGATAAAGACAAGGTTGAGGCAATCCTACCTTTTTTGTAACTAAACAGGACTCCAATTTGAGAGTAGAAATGCTTAGATCATCTGGTTTCGCATGTGTTTCCCTGGAAGTGATGTTGGCTTTTTCTTTTAAAGTTTCTGTGACATCTTCTGCCTGCACAGGTCAGCAATATGGGTCGACTTGATGGGAAGATAGTACTATTGTCTGCAGCAGCACAGGGGATCGGACGAGCAGTCGCTGTAGTAAGTTGGGAAAAATTTGTTCTTTAATTCTGTTCTTGTACCCTAGATGGCTCTCTTATGCTGACTAGTCTAATGGTACCTGCAGCAAGCAAGAAATTAAATTAATAAGCCATAGATGAAGCCAAAATCAACCTCAGAACTACTCATTGAAAAATTCAAGGAAGAACGTAGTCACTAAACAGTATCATCTGTGCTTTACGCTGACTAAATTTCTGGAAGCCTTCAAGGCTGGATAGTGCTGTTAAGCAACATGGGCAGTGTTTGAAAACAGCTGCAACTACTTTTCTAGTGGTATGTGGTCATACTATGTGTACCTCTAATCAAGCATCTCTGCTTCTTTGTTCTGAGAGAAGATGATTAGGATAGTAGGTGAGTTCCCTGTTATAAGGTTGATTACTGCAAAGATTCACTATAGCAGAGCCAAGATGTCTTATGTACACTGATAGTTGATGTAACAAAGTCTAGGTGATAAAGACCATAGCTACGAGGTTATTCACATGAACAACTGTGAGAAACGCTTTAAAAATTGTACTCACTTATTGTTGGACGGAATTCAAAATATACACTGGTCTTTCTGGTTAATTTATAACTCCTTTTGGCGAGTTCTGCCCCTGCCATTTGTTTCCTCTATAGCAGAGAGAGAAACTAGTAGAATTATTTCAGTGTCTCTACAATGTAATAAACAAACCATGAAAAGCTTCTATAAATGGGAATTTTGCCAAACTAATTAGTTTCCTGTGCAACCTTTTCTGCACTTATATTAAAATACTCAGTTCATAGAGTAGGTCATTTTCCTGATGATTTTGCTTTGGAAATACCAACAAGCTATGGAGAAGGGTAGCCCATTTAATGCCACTATCCTCTTAAGCTGTAGCAGAGATAGTTATTTTGAGGATAAAGGGCTACAACAATTTTTTCTGCTGGTCTGAGACTTCAGAACGTTTTTTCAGATACAGATTACTCTGTTTTGGGTAGCTGTCGTTTTATCAGTAAGTACACTGCAGAGGAAGCAGGTTTTGAGGGGTATATCAGGAATGAAGGAATTTCTCAAGTTCAGTACTAAAGAAAAGTCATGCTTTTGAATTTTGCTCTGTTCAGTGATTTGGATGTGAAGGACTTGAATCAAGTTTATATACCATCATTCTTTTTCTTAGATGGCATGTAAAAACGTAACTTCATTTACAAATGGTATAACTTCATCTAAATCCAACAGTACAAACTTAATTCTAGCCCTACACATTTGGAACATACTTGCTAGCACGCATGCAGCTAGTAAGGGCAATAATAATAACAACTGTATTAGTCTGGTTACTGTTTCTGATACTTCATGGATTTGCTATTTTGAGGAAAAGATTGTAAATCTCTCTTACATCTCTTAAGAGTTACTCAGTTGACCCCAGGATGTTTGTCAGTTGATACTCATCACTTCCTGACCTGCCCAGAATGAAAAGGAGAAGAATAGTTGCCTTCAGCCAACTTTGATTTCAATCCAAAAAAGAAATGAGAAGAAAACAGACTTTATTCCTGTTACAAGCTGAAATATCTAAGCGTAAATTATTTATTTTGCTTGTATTCTTCAGGCTTTTGCTAAAGAAGGAGCAAAAGTCATTGCTACAGACATCAACAAGTCTAAGTTGCAAGAACTGGAGAAATATCCAGGTAAATGATCTGCAGTAGCTATTAGTTCAATTCTCACAAGTTTTGTTGTAGGCAGACTGAAATATAACTTGAGGTTATGGCAAACTTCAAAAGGCAGGAGGAAAAAAAGAAAATATCCAGAATAATTCTTTAAATATTGGCACTGTTGTATTCTGTGCTGTAGAGTGGCAGGGACTTTGTATGCAAAATGCTGGTATTCCACTGCAGCATCAGCATTTCAGAGAGAATATGCCAAGTATGCGGAATAACTTTGTGGGTTTTGTGTGTCTCAGAAGCAGCTGATTTCTGCTTTCCAGAATGGCACCTATTTCGATCAGCTGTTTAGATTGCTGGGCCAATTGTCAAACATCCTGCTGAAAGAATGGAATTTTTTTCCTTGAACATAAGAGCTAACATTCAGCCACACAAAAAGTGGATTTAGTGTCTTGCATTTCCATCAGCCACACTTAGTAAGGAATGCCTTAAGAGCAGAGCTGCCTAGTAGGAATTGATATATCTTCAGGAACTGATTCCACTGACAGCAGATAAGCCCATTTTGCTATTATAAATGTGCAAGACTGAAAATTTTCTTGCTGATATCACAAAAAGAAACTTCAAGGAGCAGGTTTTGCATAGCTATTTTCCTTAAGTATAAAAGTGGCACAAGTGGAAGGACATTTAAAATAAAAGATTTATCAATCTTAAAAAAATAAGATAGGTATATGTTATAACAGAAAATACTTCCAAATTAATTTGATTCAGAGAAGTGATTGCTGGACTTTGATTTCCTATTACCTCAACAAAATTAGCATCACTTTTGGACTATAGGCAGGTACTGTTTCAGATCCAGCTGCATTAGCTGAAAGTATCACCTTTACACAGCTAAGCTAACCTCTGAGCTACCCTTACAACTCTGCTAGTATAGCAGCTCTACAAAAGGCATCATTAGTTCAGGTAACTTAAACATCTGTTTAAACTGTGGAGGCTAACCTGGCAGATGTTGCCTGAAATGGAGTAGGGAGTTTTTGCCCCAGCTGCTCTGCAGAAAGTTGACTGTTTCTGCAACAGGCATGGGTCAGATAGTAAACACATACAATAATACTTTTCCTTGGCGCAACTCTTAAAGTGAACATCTGTCTCCTCTCACTGGAGTTCACGGCAAGGAATCTCTTTGCAACTCTTTAAGAACTTTGGGACTTTCCAGCTTCCTTTGGAAGGTTTTTAGGAAAGTGTTACATTTTTAACTGCACGTTGCTCCTCCTCAGCTAGTATGTTCAGAAGAAAACAAACTTTTCCATATACTCCCAGCCATTTCTGTCCTTTTGACATATGATTAGTTAAGCCTAATTCATCAAGGCTTGGTGCATCCTGGTCTTTGAATTTAATCCAGGTGAGGTGACTCCACTGCTGATGTTATTCACCAGCCTATAGTCTTTAATTGCATCATCATATACAAATCATTTCAGAAGCATACGTATCACTTTAACAAAGGCATATAAAGCATGTTCATGGACTTATCAATATGGCTTCAAAAGATGCTGATTTTTCTCCATTTGAAACCAAATTCTCCTATTGTTTATATATCACCCAAATACTGTAAAGCTAGCTGCAAAGTATTTCATAGAATCATGCAGGTTGAATGGGACCTCCAGTGACAGTCTAGTCTCCTATCTCCTGCTCAAAGCAGGTTGTTAGACTAGGTTGCTCAGGGCCATGTTCAGTCAAGTTCTAAATATTTCCAAGGATGGGAATTCCACAACCTCTCTGGGTCCCTGCTCTAGTGTGAGCACTGTCATGGCAAAAAAAAAAAAAAAAAAAGGGGAAAAAATCCTTACATTGAGTTGAACATTCCAAGTTTTCTGTTACCTTTTATGCTTTCACTGTGGGCTTCTGAGAAGAATCTAGATCCATCTTCTCCACACCTTCCTAAGAGGCAGACATTTATTAGATTGCAAGTCACTACTTACAGGTGATAAAGCTGTGGTTCTGGGGCACAGGTGTTCTGCACCAGAGGTGCCTTAGTTCTAGATGCAGGGTATGCGATGTCCAGGCTGTGGCAAAGGGGTGATTTGCAGCAAGTCTTTGTGCCCTGGAAGCCTGATTGTACCCACTGAGGGAACTGTTGAAGCACACCATGGATCCTTCTTTTCCACACATCTGGGCTTCCTTTTGGAAGGAAAGCTGGTGCATTTGAGAAGGGTGCACAGCTCAGTGTTTACTGTCAGCATGGAGTTAGGGTGCGGGCAGGGCGTATCATGAAGTACGCTTATTCCATAGCGGGGTCTCAGTCTTGACATGGCTGAGAGTAGTTAGTTACGTTAGGTTATTGGAAGGTTCTTAGGTAAAATAACATGTAGATTATATCAGTCACATTACAGCTCATCTGGAAGCGTGGTTTGTTTACTTTGCTCTTTTTATTTCTGCCAGTGGATAGCACTGCTGTGGCTTAAAACATTTCTGTTGAGGAGGGACTGGTTCTATGGAAAAGTGTTTGGAAGAGAGTTGCACTTCTCCCTGTTTTGCAGTAATTACACTTCTCAATCTCTCAGTGAACTTCTCTGAACAAAACAGAAGGATTATTATTATTATGTTTTCAGTATCAATGGTTTTCTTGAAGGTACAGCACAGACACTGCCAGTGCTATGAGCGCTGACAGTAACAGCTGTCAGGGACTCAAGTAAGTAGTGCCTTATTGCAAAAAGTAACACGTTTCCAAGTGTGGTTTTTTTTGTTTGGTTGAGTTTTTTGTTAGAAACAAATGATTGCAAAAACGTGAACATCATATTTTTAAACTAGACAGTCTGCATACCTTGATAATAGAGGCAATCAACCTTTTACAATTCATCTTCATTTCTTTTATAGCTGCGCTATCATGCCAGGTTATATAAAGTTAATAAAGGCTTAAGCAAAAACACTTTTCCTCATTAATTAAATGTTATAAAGCTGATACATACAGATAGATGGTAAGTAATGTGATCGTGGCAGTATGTGACACCTTTAATTAGTTCCAAGGAATTATTCTATAATAGTGTGCATGAGAGCTTGTTAGGATTATACAGACTGTGTAATCCTTTAGTCTGGAAGTACAGCAGAATCCAAATGTATTGGAAGTAACTTTTATGGTTGAGGGACACAACTCATCTGCTTCTGTAATGCTGTGTGACAATCACATCTTTTTAAAGACCCTTCTGAAGGTTTAAATAGCATGCCATGCTGTCCATTGCTGTCCTGATTTAACCATTACACTAACTTAATGATCAAGCGTAGCTGTCAGTCAGACAGTCTTCATGTCTCGGTGCACTACTGAGAGGGGACTGTTCCTGGCAAACCACTGAGCTGAGTGGGAGCTGCAGTCCTCAGCACTTCTGAAAATCAAACTGCTGATCTTTAACCAAAGAGAGTGAAATAAATACCATGTTTTTATAGGAATTCAAGTACGGGTTCTGGATGTCACCAAGAGGGAAGAGATAGAAAATCTAGCCAAGGAGATTGAAAGGATTGACATCCTCTGTAACGTTGCAGGGTAATCAGCTTCTGTTTCATCCTCCTCCTTTTTCCAATTTTTCCTTGTCCTTCAAAAGTACTTCATTTTACTTGAATGTATGTTATTCGTTTAATTTTAATGTGTTTTATACCTTAATATAAACTTTCATGTGTTTTCATCAAAACTGATATCTTTGTGTGCAGCCATGTTAACCAGGCCAAGGTAAAAATGGTTCTGGAAACTGAGCTATGAGTTTCCCTCCCACCGCTCTCTAGCGGGTACCTTGTGCTGCTTGCTCTGCAGCTCCCCCTTCCCCCCCCCACCCCGGGCACCACAGTGAGCAAAGCTGGTGGTCTGCCTGTGCGGTATTTATTTTTGGAATTTTCCCTATTACCAAATGCTTCTCTGCATGTATGGGGTGTGTCTCGTATCACTGATGCTCATCGCAAGAAATATACTGTTGCTTTGCTTTCTTGAGAAGAACTGTTGTGCCTACTTTACAAGCTTGGAAGGGTTAGCTGTTACAAAAAAGCAGTAGAAAAATAGACTTGTAAACTGCAGACAGTAATACATTTTATGCACTTATTCCAGGTTTGTTCATCATGGAACCATTCTGGAGTGTGAGGAGAGAGACTGGAATTTTGCTATGAACCTCAATGTTCGCAGCATGTATCTAATGATCAAGACGTTTCTTCCCAAGGTAAGGCTTGGTTGCCTATGCTTTTTAGTCTCTGTTGCCCTGTTTTAAGGGGGAATGGTCTAAATCATTGTCACTGTGACAGCATGGGATTTGGGATAAAAATGTGAGTATGCAGCTTGGGATAGGGGAGGCCCTTAGACTACATTGATGCTACTCTGAACCATTCTCGGTACCGTCTAAACCTTCAAGTTAGACCACATATCTAAAGGAAATTATAGACAAGATTAATTCAGAGGTTTTGCCCTGTGTAATTTGTAAGTAAAAATCCTCCAAATATAGAGCAGCAAGAGAACCAGTGTAATACAATACAGTACAGCACGCAGCTACACATTATGTAGCAAAACGACTATTATAAAATATTTAAAAATATACACTAACGTGAATTTTTTCTGCAACTGGGGAAACTATCCTGTGAAGCAGATCAGTGTCACTGATGGCAACGTGCTGGTTACATGGGAACAATAATACAGTTAATCTAGCATCTTGAGGATTCTTGCTGTTTGTGAATACATACCTTCTAGACTACAAAAGTTTGAACTGAATGGTGTTTGTTTCCTGTAAATGCAAAGGCTAGAGGTGGTAGCTGTCACCATGGTGACTGGATGATTTCTCACCTCCTTCTCCCACTTCCACCCCCAAAGTGTTGCTCCAGTCCTGGCTTTTTTCAGCTGATCTTCACATTCAAAGGCTCTTTATAACTGTTGTAGGCACCTCGGGTTTTGGGATGCCTAAAGTCTGTATAACTTTCACAAACTTAGCTACAACTCGGAGACATCAGAGAGCTGTGACTTAGCCTTCTCCAAAGCGAGAAGGATTTGAATGGAAGCAATAGAAGAATTACACTGGTAAATGGCATGAGACTGTCCATGTAGTGTACCGGACAAGATGGCAATGATTCAGAGGTCACTAAGAATGTTATGAACAACAATCTACAAAACAGCTCACAGCAATGGATGTTTGTCAGTAAAAACATTCAACTCCAAATCATGGAAGCCTCATTGCCTGAACCTGATTGAGTGGGAAGTTTCATGTGAAGAGCACATGCCCTGTTGCACACGTGGATTCATGTCGCACTTTACTGATCAGTAACGTTTTTACAAAGATAAGCAATGATCTTAGATTTCCCTAAAAAGGTAACTCCACTGTAATTAGTTAAATAGCTACATTGGGATTATACAGAAGAACCTGTAGTCTTTTTGTTTTGTTTTTTACTTCCTGTGCTTTTCTTATCATGCAACTTCGAACAAGAAAGACTGCCGTAATTTTGTTTCAATACTCCTTCCTATCTATTAGGAAGGAGATAAACCTTGGGGCAGGCAAACAGCAAGAACGTTATATCTTGTCCTCAGCCTGGTTCCTCTTCATTTTATTTTAAATACACAAATTTCTTGGCGCTCCAGAGTGGAGCGGATGTCAGTCCTCCATGTTTTAGTGGTTCTGTCTAGATCTGTGAAGAAGGAACAAAGTACTTTCTCGTCTTCTACATCACTTTTGAAATGATTTAGGAGAACTTGGTGAGAATTTCAGAATCTGCTTTACTACTTCAGTCAATAGATCAAAAAGAGAGATAAGCACGTATTCGTGCTAACGGAAGTTTGTTATCCTGGATATCAGTTGCATTTAGGGCTGTTCTAGTGGTTGTTTGGGCTATTCTGCTGGGCCTGCAGGTGACAGAATATTTCACATTTGAATGATACAAGTATTCTTTTGCAGATGATTAAGCAGAAATCTGGAAATATTATAAATATGTCTTCCGTGGCATCCAGCATTAAAGGTCAGTAGCTTTCGAGAGAGTTGCTTATATACGTTTTCCACAGTATGTCCTGTTGATACTCTGGGTTAGTAAAAATTTGCATATCCAGTTTGGAGAAAACCGTGATAAGGCTATATGCAATGGAGTGCCCTTGATTTTGATCCTGTGTCCATGTGCTTGATGAAGCATCCTGTAGTTACATTATGTACAGTAGCAACTCCTCGTTCAGTACACACAATGAGCTGCTCTCGGGGAATGAATCAAAGCTTTGCAGTGAAAAGAGATGGCCTGTAGACCTCTTGTTCATTTGTTGTTGGTAAGGTTTTTGTGATTAAGACAGAGGATTACAGGAACAGAGCACCTTCTAGGAAAGGAAACTGCTACAGAGTTGAGCCTGGTGCTTGGTGCTTACTTCTATTTAGGTTGCCCAGGTGGTTGCTCTGCTCCTCGTTTTCTGATTACCCAGTGGAAAGCTCCTAAGGCCTGCTTTTTACAACTATGCAATACTCTGTAGCATAGTTGAAGTGGGCGAGATCTGACTCTCCATTTGCGTGTCGGGAGGAGAGAAGTGATAATGCCACTGCGCAGTGGTATTATGAGGAGGAATTCTTCAATCTTCCTTTAAAAAAAAAAAATTTAGATGACAAGCGTAAGACCTTAGAAAAGGCAAAAAGTTAATCTGCAGAGTGTGAAACAAAATGGTGGGAATAAAAAAAAAATTGTACAACTTTGCATTTAGAAAGCCCCCTCTGTTCTATGGAGGGATGCAGCATTGAAAAAAAGTGAATGCATAAACCATATGCAAATACAGAGATGTAAAGTTGCATAAGCACTAAAGTCTAGTCTTTGAGTTTTTGAATCGGTGCTCTGAATGTTTTGTATCATCCTTTTTATCAGTTTGTATTAAACAAAAAGGAATTACACTTTCAGTGATAACTTGCTATATATGTAGTTCAGAGAAACAATAAATAACTATTGCATAAGCGCTATAGCTATGTTTCCCAAAGAAAACTGAGGTTAATAAACAGATGGGCCTCTACTCTTGCCAAGTTTTGGTTTGTTCATTCTGTTACTTCTTCTAGGTTACTTGCCAAATTTATATTTTGAAAAATACTGTGCTTTGTTCTGGTCTATGCCAGAGGAGAACTCTAGCTAGCCTACCCTTGTGGGAAAGCTGTGTGCTACAGGAAATGCTAGATTTGGAAGCAAATGCATATAGAACAAACTTGTCTGTCGTCTTTCTTAATATGTTTCCATGTTGCCTTCACATTGATCTTCTGTTAGGAGTTGTGAACAGATGTGTATACAGCACTTCTAAGGCAGCAGTTATTGGTCTAACAAAGTCTGTGGCTGCTGACTTCATTGAACAAGGCATCAGATGCAACTGTGTATGTCCTGGTAAGTATTCTTGCAATATCTTGGAAACTTGGAGCAGGTGCTTAAAAAAAAAAATACATCGCAATTTAGTTTGATGTTATTAATGGAGACAGTAGAGTTGCAAATGGCAACTAAAGTTACCAGCAATCAAAAAGAACAAGACATATTTCAAACATCTCTGAGATGTAAAATAGAAAAATCATTACTTTTAGAATTAGACTGGGCTGTGTACTTAGTCTCTTAACCCAGCACTGAGACATCTAAGCATATGCCCATTATATATGCATTACATAGTATTTGCATGTTTATTTTTCTGGAAGTTAGAAGCAGTCTAAGGCTAGCTAGCAAGCTAGCTATTGTTTAACAATCTGAAAAGTATCAAATCTCATTCTCAATAAAAGACAGAATGCTTTGAAATTTAGGTTCCTATGCTGAGTTGATATTTTTGTAGTCTTTCTCCTGCATCAAACAATGCATTTTCATTGATTTTATTATATGTCATGATTGTTGATAAACTTAAGTTTTAATATTGAATTTCAAACTTTTGCTTAGGAACTGTTGACACACCATCTCTACAAGGAAGAATTAAAGCCAGGCCTAACCCAGAACAGGTTAGAAAGCAATTTGTTTGATCATGTACATACATATGCTAAACACCTTTTAAAAACAAACAAAAAAACACACACCAGCACTTCTGCCCAAATTCCAGAATATCCTATATTTCAGAGTACCAATGGTAACATAACAATAGGGTCCCCTTCGATAATTTGGTCAGTTTGTGCTCAAGCTGGGGTCTTAAAATGCATCATAAGGGGACTTGCTTGGTGAATGCAGAGGGTCTGTCATCTGTGGAAGAATTTGCAGCAGTTGCTCACAATATCTAGTGCAAAAGTAGAATACATTCGCTGCTTTGGCACGTATCAGCCACAAACTAGTGCACAACCACGATAGAAAGGGCATTCTGGCATATGCTTTTAAAAATAATTTAGGTTCTTGTAATCACACTAAGTACATAACTGTGAGTCCTCATTTGAAGGGCCTGGGAATGTTTACCAACAAAGGAAGAAGGGCTTCTGTTGGCTTTACTCTGGAACCAGAGGTTTAAGTTTACTCTCTTCATATTTTTCCAACCTGAAATTCATACCATTAAGTTACCTTTGTTTCTTTCTCTAGCATAGATTCCCTACCCAATGTACTAAAGAAAGTTTTGACCTCGTGGCTTGTTTCTAATATTGCTTTGTACATATTGCACAATAATCAGATTAAAATATATATATATTTTTTGATACACCCAATGCTCTTATGACTAGGCATTGAAAGACTTTCTAGCCAGACAGAGGATTGGTAGGATGGCTACTGCTGAAGAAGTGGCCCATCTCTTTGTGTACTTGGCCTCTGATGAAGTAAGTACCGAGCAATAGAATTCTCTGTCACAAAATCCCATGCTACTTTGCCGCCTCACAATAGAGCGAATCTGTTTCAGGAAGATTGATCTTGTCTTTGAGTTGAATCATTGCAAGAATAGAAAACTGGCCGCCTTTTACTGAGTTCAACCTGTAATACAAAAAATGCTCTGAATATTGACAATGATTGTTAAGGTATTACGAACTTGGAACCGTAGCCGGGATGTTTGATGCCCGGATCATTCTGAATGATAGCAGAAATGCTCTTCTCTGCTGTTTCAAGCTGCTTGATTTCCACCACAACTGGAGCATATTTTAAGGAGGTAGAATTAGTACCGTTGTCACCTACCTGCGTTACGCAAGAGCAAACGTTTGTGTAGAACCGCTAGAGATTTTAGCAGAAGTTCTAATGCCCAGGATGAGCATTCCCTTTTGCCATAAAGGAAACAATAGACACACTGAGGCTGTTATAGACCAGACTCACAATGACTACTGCAAATATCACCAACAACAGTGAAACACATCAAGGTTATTTCATTTACTGTGCTATAAATTTGCTATGAATCTAAAATTGGACTGGATTCCGCTAGACTTGTCAGAATGTTTTAACGGAATTACTGTGGTCTTAGTCTTTCCCTGTATCACTAATCTGTTTCTCACTTTCATCTTGGTGTACTGTTTCTGTAAAGCTACTAATTTAATGCTTCAGTACTGACCTAGAGCGAGGAATGTTACCTTCTCAGTTGCTTATCTCACTTTCTGCACAATCTAGATTTCATTTAAGTCCCCTTATAATTATTGGCTGACCTGGTCAGATTCTGCACAGCTGAAGAGAGCTAATAACATCCCAGTGTAAGATATTATTGCTGCAGGTGAGCTCTCTGAAATTCACCTTATGTGAATTCATATATTCAGGATGTATTATCATTTTAATGCCTTTAATAATAATTTTGCTATACTCTACTGAGTTAGGCAAAAGGCTTCTGTTTTTAAGTTTTTTTTAATATCTTATGTGTTCAGATCTACTGTTGGTTTTGTTTAAAAAAAAAAAAAAACCTGTATGAAAAGAAATCAATTTCTGATAAAGTTAAATTAGTATTTTCCTGTACTTAATAACCATAAACTATTAGTAAAATCTATTGTTACTTTTTATATAATTTCAGTCTGCCTACATGACTGGCAATGAACTAATCATCGATGGAGGGTGGAGCTTGTGACTGAGCCTATCTGCAAATGGAAATTCATACTATATGAAAGGCAAAAAATGAGGAGAGATCATGTTTCTCAGTTAAGATGGTTTGCAAAGATTTAAATCATGAACGTGATGTCTTTCAAAACAAATTTAGTGCATTTTTATCACTCTGTAATCTCTTTCTAAATTGATCTTACTGATATGCTTTTTCCTAAATAGCAAAACATTGGAGTAAAATGTATTTAATGTGACTTTTTAATGGTAACTCCGAAAGCATGAAAGAATAATAATGTAACCTTTAAGATATCAATGTTCCAAGAATACTATTTCATGTACAGAATGAAGTCTTGTTTTAAACAAATCTAAATGAAAGGAATTAAATACTACTATTATTCTCAGCCTCCAGAGTATCTGCATATATATGTATACACACACACACACACACACATATGTATATGTGTATACTAGGTGCAATAGGATTGGCCGCTTTCTTGTCTAAGCCCCCAAAGCTTACAGACGCTGTCTTCATGAAGCCGAAATAATGGAGGTGAGCCTGCTCTAGTGGTTGTTAAGACTAAAGTTTACAGCATGTAGAGAACATAGAGAATCTCATGTAGTTTTGCAGTCAGCTTTAAGTGAGTACTTCTGCTAGTACCAAAGAGGTCCTCCTGGGAAAGATGGAAGCCACAACTGTTTCATTAATGGTATAGATCACTGCTAAAATGGTTTTGTCTTTTTCCATGTACAGAAAAGTACTATGTAAAGACATCCCTCAGGTAGGCATGAGGGGGTATGGTGTATGTATTCTTCCACTTAGTTCTTCAGGAATACTTTCTATTTCTGGCATACAAGCAAAAGAGTAGATTTTACAGCTCTCAACAGAGCCAATGTTATTCCTCTTCAGAAGGATGCACTAGTAATTATGCTAACACTGAACAAATATTACCAAATCTATAGGCCAGGTGCTAGGATTATGGCCTTCCGTTGCTTTATTCTCAAATACCAATACAATCCATGTTAAACGTAAGGCTAAGTTTCTCAGAAGATAACTGTTTCTACAATAGTTTATGGGAAAGGGGTGGGTTGATATTATTTTTGTGGTAGCACATTGGAGTATTGATTGATGAATCAGAAGCTTGTTGTGGTGAAGGCTCACATTCTGAACAAAACATGGTTTTTGACCCAGAGATCTCAAGGCAATGAATATGCTGAAATTCTGACACCCTTTGTTTTGTGAGCACACCGTTAAAATTGATATGAATGACATAGGCTGACTGCACATAAATACGGTTACATTAAAAAATTGCACATAGCTCCATTACTCTATTTTGTGAACAAAGCTGTATGCAATTGCAACTGTGGGAGTTGGCGGGGAGGAATGAAGGGATAAATGCTGCTAAATATTCTTGATCAGTAATCAGAAACCACACAGTGTATATGCAAATACATGCTAGTTTTGTGCATGTTTCCATAATAACACCAACTGCTATGTTTTTAGAAGATTACTTAAGCTCTTCAATACTTACTGAGGCATTAATATAAATTATTTGATTACTAAAGGTATGAAACATGTCTGGTCAAAATCAGACTTTCTGTTTATAAATGTTGGATTTACTTATTCACAAGTTTTTAATGAGCAAGTATTATGGAGGCTGGATTGCTCAAACTCATCATGGCTTTAGCTTTTACCTTTAATCATGGCTGGAGCATGTTGATGTTGTGTAGTTTGTTTATGGGGGCTTGAGTGTCTTCTCTATTTCCACAGAGCGACCCCAGCAGCAAAACAGGATAAAGCTGAAGCAGTTAACAACACAGTTAACCAAAATTGTTCCACCAAAGTTCACTGAGGTAAACTGAAATGTTAGAAGTTGAGGCTGGCGCGGGATGCTGTTTCAATGTGTTCAGAGTTTAAATAAGAAGGCCAAAGTGCTCTTTCTGTGGTAGCTGTAAAAGGCTTATTTTGAAAAGAGAATCTCCCTACTGCAGCAACACCGGGAACTTGCATTGTCTATTTGGAAAATCTAATTCAGAATTTCGGAGGAATGTCAGTATATTTATTATTACACACTGAACTTCATTAATGAACACTTCAAAGCTCACTCATACCTGTAATATACAAACTGCGAAAGGGGTTTTTTTTTTTTTCTCTCAAATCACTTTTGCAAGAAAAGATGACGATACCATCTGTTTTTTACACACAGAGCACTAAAGCACAGAGAAGTGAATTTATCAGAGAGAATCTGGAGTTGGTGGTCAAAAAAAACCCAAAACGATTTCAACGAAGCTTCTTATTAGCAGTGCTTTTCATGGATGTGTTAACAGCCAAAACTCTGAAATGTCTTCAAAGGTCTAGGGTTCTCCAGCAGACTTGCTACAATTACTAAACAAGATTACTCGTTAATGCTCTCGTGACCTCTTAATTCCCTGGTTGGTTTTTATGGAACCGGCTGATTCCCTTTCTTCTCCCTCCACCCCAGTGGTAATATGCAATGGAGTGTTTAGACTTTTCAGATCTTAAGTCAATCTTTTCTCTGGTGGGGGTGGGGGAGAGACTGGAAGGAACTTCCCTGATTCATGGTCCTTCCGGAAAATTCTGTCCGATCAAAAAGCAGCTTTAGTATTTTTTGTAACAGATTTCTAGTCAGCCCTAATTCTGTGCAATGCTACTTAGGAACAAAGCAGCAACGTGTTGCAGTTGAGCCTGCTTCCGCATGTACCCTGTCTGGCTTGCGGCATGAGGCTGAGAGGCAAGCGCTGCCCCGTCCCCTCACGTGCCCTTACAGACGAGGGGACTGCCCTCAAGTTGGTTTTGGAGAAGTTGAAATATCTTGATGGAAGCACCACAAACGTGCAAATATTTTTATTCAGATCCTAGTCCCCGCCTTGCCTGTACCGCTGTCGGCCAGTGGGGAGGGGGGAAGGACTCCTCCTGAGAGGGCAAAGAGAGAGAAGATGGCATCCGGGCAGCCTTGCAGCTCTTCCCCAGCTCCAGCCGGAGGGCTCCGCTGCCTGGCCCGGTGAAGCTGTGCCTCTCGGGGAGGGACTGTGGCAGCAGCAACCGCAGGGGAGGAGGAGCCAGAGCTGGCACAGAGCTGTTCCTGCTTTGGGCGAGCGGATCATCATCAGGGCATCTCCGCGCCGAGGCGCTAGCCGTGCTGGCGAGGCTGCACAGGGACCTGCTCTCTCCCGCTGACCCCTGCCATTCCCCAGGTGGGTTTTCTGCATCTTCTCCTCCGTCTGGTTGTGTCGCCATCCCCTGTGGCTGCAGGCGGCAGGAGGGGTAAGGGGTGGGGGACTGTTTGCTGGCCTTAAAGGCAGGAAGCTAGCCCGGGGGGGAGCGGGGGGGAGGCGGGGAGGGAGGTTGCATCGGAGCTGGCTTACATCTTTCTGTAGATGATATGTGTTTGGGTGTTTGTTTTTTCTTCCCCTTTTACCTAGTCATCTGCTTCATCTGCTATCACTTTTTTTATTCTCAGTGTTTGTTGTTTTGGTGGTGGTTGTGGTATTTTATTTGCGTTCCCTTCTGTGCCGTCTGTGTGTGCAGGGCAGAAGTGTTGGCAGTCACCAGGGCGATGGAGCTAATAATACAGGCGCGCGCGTGCTGCGCCTGTCAGTCGTCTCCGAGCTCTACTCCGCCTCGCTTTTCTCCTCCCTCCCGATTAAAGCAAAATAAAATGAGAGGATCTAGCTAAAAACAAACAAACAAAAAAACCCCTTTCTGATTTCAAAATAAGGAAAGTGTATTTTTCAGGGATCTCCTAAAATAAATCTCTTACTGGTTGGTTTCCAAGATACAGGCCTTAACCCTGTGGTATGAATTGTGCTCCATGGCCTCTCAGTTTCTCTGATTCTGTTTGCCCGTGGGAGTGAGGTTTAGAGGGAAAAAGAAAAAAATCCTGGCCTGAGTTTGTGCTTGTGAGCTAGATACTCACTTTAGTCTTGTTAATACATCTAGCTGTTGCTCAGAAGTGACAGCACGGAGAACCTGGCAGGGTCAAGCCCTCTCTGTACAGAACAGAAAAGGGCAGTGCACACAATAGCAGACTCCTTCCCTGGCACCTTGAAACCATCCGCACTAAGCCAAAGCAGGAAATCAAATCTCCTTGCTCGATCAGTCATATATTCCCTTTATACCACTGCTAGCAGTGCACGCGGGAGCTGGAGTTGTTGAGAGGTGGACTCCTGTTCCTTGGAAGCATGAACTTATTTCATGTCAATGAAAACATCACTTGTGCAAAGCTGGATGGAGACTGTCATCGTCTTTCTGGTCTTCTCCCACGCCCAGAATCACAAAATTTAAGTGCTAATATCCTGAGGAAAAAGTGAACAGGAGCAGGGAGAACTACGGGTAGGTTGCTGTCTAACCCAGAATGCTGGTACGTACTGTTCTGGTCAGTAGCTTGGTGTTGGTGGATTCCTGGCCTCAGTGAAAAGACTGCCCTGGCAAAATCTTGAATTGATAAAAGTATCAATTATTTCACTGAAGAACTTTGAGACCACAACTATTTGGTTTCGCTAACAGTAATTAAAAGATAGAAGTAGAAAAGTAATGGGATTTGAATAAGTTAATATTTTAAACTTGAAAGAGAGCGAAACTATTGTATTAGAGCACGTTGAAACGATTTGCCTGTAACTCTGTAGTCTTTCTCTATGCCTTAGCCTTCTCGCAAACCACTTTCATATCAGAACTCAAACAAAACCACCCAGATGTTACAGTAAACCCTGTCTTTGTTCATGGCGTCAATCCCTCCTAGATATCAAATATATCTTTAAAAACTGAAAGGTTGATAATCGTGAGAACTGGCTCTCTGACTTGATTCCAGCAATTTAAGAAGGAATGAATTTCTTGGCTCAAAAGTTCTGGCCCGACTTGAGTGGTGTTTTTTATGGCCAGAATAATGTACTAGACTTCCAAAAAAAGCTGTTCATTTCCAGATTGCTGAGGTGCAGAGAGCTTTGCTGAAGCATGGTTGATGGAGAATGTCTGCACACCTTTGATATGACAGAGATGCACACTAGTAAGCCTTGTCTTCGGATATGTGTATGCAACTCTTACTGATGCAGACTTGTGAAAACACAGTAAATATTCTCTCACTCAGAGCTGATATATCTCTTGTTAGCATCACGTGACCAGAAGAGGACCTATTTGATTAAGGGACAAGTATAATGACAATTACCCACTTGAACTTGGAGCTTTCTTTCCCACTGCCCACAAGGTTCCTCCACAGGATAGGAGCAGTATAAAGTCAGTATACTTTAAAAGTATGGAGAGAATTTTCTTGTGCTCGTGGAAGCTCCTAGAATGATGAGTTCTGTAATTCTTGTTTGAAAGACAATATTCTAAGAGTAAGTTCTACTTGGACAAATGTAAGCAACACAGCTGATGGTTGCCTGTTCTGCGTGGTGCCAGGGAGGTGCTGGAGCGTGACCAGAGTCTCCTGGACCAAAGAAATCCTGCAGGCTGATTTGTAGGCGATTTGGGAATTAAGTGAGGCCTGCAGATTGGATTGGCGCAGTAAACCAGCTGACGCTGAAGATCTTGAGTCTAACAAGCATTGTTTATTTCTTGGATATTCAGTCCATGTGTTTATGAATAGTGATGTCTAACAGAACTGTGTTCTTGAAAAAATCCCTTGAAAATCAAGGGGGATCTGGTCAGGTTTTAGGCTAGGTGAAAAGTCTCCCCTTGTGGGTATGCTTTAGAAGTGGTACGTGTTGCTCTTGGCTGTTTGCACTGCCCTGTTCACAGGCTCTGTGGCACTTTCAGGACTAACGGTCCTGGCGAGAGGTGTTGACAGCAAATGACCTTTTTTCTGTGCTGATAGAAGGCATAAAATACATGTACTTTTGTGTGTGTGTGTGTGTGTATAGTACAGCTATAGTCTCTTGCACAGATCATGATTTTAAAACCTTTAGGGTTTGTTGTACTTTACAAGCTTAATAAGAACAAAAGACAGCGTTAGAAAAATTTTATGTGCGGCACACACAGGCATGCAAAAAACATTACATTAAATTCCAAATTGGGCTGTGGGTTTTTTCATCTGATCTATGGGGAAGGAAGTAATATCACTGAAAAGTATTGCATCTGGAAAATTGTATTATTTGCTTCTCTTTAATCTTTTTATTGTTTATTGCTTTCCATAGGATTGCCACAATGGTAAAAGAGGATATTGGAAATGAGAATGAAGAGTCTGAGCTGTCAGCATGTGTGGAAAATGGCATGATTCCCATGCACGAGAAAAGTAAGGTAATTCATTAGGCTCTGAAAGTACAGCTTTAGTCAGAGGAACTCTCCTTTTACTTTTCTTCCTTTTTCTGTTAAAATGCTGAAGGGAGTGTAAAAAGAACTCTCCTCCTCAACGAGGGAATTCTTTACAGTTAACAGATGTTCAGTTAAAAGAAGTCTGTAGTGCATTGGACAGTTGGAAATCAGTGGTTGCAATTTCAGCTTGAATTAGAAAATTAATCAGTGCAAGTTTTACAACCAGCTATGAAAAAGAACTAAATGGACTTAAGTTTCCTTCTCTGCTTTAAATTGTGCCTATCAGTGTGTTTAAAAGTTGTTCATGCATCTCTCTCTCTCTTTTTTTTTTTTTTCTATCTATTACAATTCACAAAACAGCTTTAAACTTCCATATGCATGTTACTGGAGTTGACTCCCATGGCTTTGAAAAAGATTAGTGGTAAATGCAAGTAAGAATAAAATTCTTAATGTAAAAGATGCTTCAGAGTGAATATATAATATTGACTATGGAGATAAATGCTGTACGGCATGTCTTTGTAGCATGGGTTGCTGATGACTGCTAATCACAGGATGGATAACCAAGTAACTCTACGCTGAAAGCTCACAAGATTTGGTGTTCCATCCATGACAATGAGTAATAGATACACGTGTAAAAAAAAAAAATATATATATATATATATATATACACACACTTATGTATGTATGTATGAGACGGAAATAGTGGGAAATGTGGAACTGCTACTGGATGAAGGCCAAACCACAGTATAGGCAAGAATTCCATAGCCATGTTATGACAACCAGCTGACATGAAGGTGAATAATTATAAGGGAAGGTAGATGATTAACTTGTCAAAAATAAAGACCCTGAAGTGAAGCAAGATACATACCCAAAAATGGTCAAAAGAAATGCTTTGGCTATGAATATGGATAAGTAGATGAATCAGTATAAGAGAGCAGTTTCAAGAAACCATTATTTGAGGAAAAAACTCCCAGGGTAGCATTTCTTCATCTCTTGACATACCAGTTTGAGCCTTGCAGCAATGGATCATGTGAGTAATGCTTTCACTGGCCATCTGTGCTGGTTTTTTTCTTTGCCTACTCAGTAGTAGGTTATGTTGTTTTGGTTCAAAGCTTTTTAACAGAAGCTAATTAGGAGTTATAGTAAAGGTTATTGTCTCACGGGAATGATGCTAATGCTAATTGTTAACTTTACTGTGGAATCCAGCCTGGACCAGAACCCTGTCAAACTGTAGAAAATATTGACAATTATTTAGTTCATACAAAAGACAGGCTGAACCCAGCCTGTTAATATTGTTTTTCATCAAATATGTTGATACCATCATTGAACAGGTGCTTATATGCGCTAGGAATGACAGGAGGTCTCTTGGTCACAGATAAAAAGTCAAAGGCAAGCGTCTTGCAGTCTTTCATATGTAGATCTTTGTACTGTTTTTTTTTTTAATTTGTTTATGTGTGTGTATTAAAAAAAAAAACTGACCCGGCCTGCAATATGGCAATTGTTTAATTACTGTAGTCATCAATAGATGGTACTGGCCTAGTGCATCACATCTGATGGCAGGCATCTTGTACACCACTACAAATTGTATACAGTGCCACTTCTGAAAGAATATTTTTGTTTTAATTCAGGAAGGGCCAACAGTGGACACGAAAGGTACTGATGGGAATGTACAAACAGAAGAAACTGCTCTCTTGAATCATTGTGCTCAGCAGCCTCAGGACCCGATAGCAGGACCTTCAACATCTGCAGGAACATTGAGGCAAATATTTGCCTGTCCTCCTCAAGGTTTACTGGCCCGAATAGTGACAAATGGTATGTAAGAAAGATAAAGTGCAAAATGTTTAGCTGAACTGAGAAATGGCAAATGAAGTACTTTATTTTCTGGATATGATGTCTGACTATTTTTCTGGAAAATAATGGAAGGAAATGGCTGTTTTATGTAGCACATCTTCTTTCAACATATTACTGGAAGAAATATTGGGGTAGAACAAAGATTGAAAGTTTTTCTTCCTCCGTCCTGTCTTCCATGTTAAATGTAGTAGGTTTGTCTTTGGATTGTGAATTGTTTTAATCAGAAGTAGGAGCTCCTAATTCTCTTCTTGATTGCTCATTTTTAGAGTGAGAGCATTATGATTATAAACACAGTGCATTTTTGGCACACTGGATCGTTTGTCGTGGAATTGAGGCTACAAACACAAGTCTTTGCAATGATACCTTACCTTCTTTTGTTTCTTAACGCTATACGCCTCAGGCTTGCAAAGCCAAGAATCTCATCTCCAAAGCACACTGACCCTTCTGTTTAAATCTGCCCTGCACTGAAGGTTCATACAAAAGAATGCCTGACTAACCAGTTATTTCCGACTCTTCCAAGCAACAGATGTTTCCTATGGATTTGACTGCTTCCACAGCCTCTACTTTCTCTCACTTGGGATTCTTAGGCTTGTAAATTTGAGAATCTGCTAACCTCTCCTTTACCATCCATTACACTCAAATAAGATTAAGAAAAATTCAGCCTTAAAGTGCAACACACTGTTATGTGGTTATGAAAAAGGGAATTTATTTTGCAAGTTTTTTTATCCCCCTTCACTCTTAGGCTTGTATATCTATGCATGCCTGTTTCCTTGGATAACTGCCGGAACATGTTTGGAAATCTGCAAAGAGCATAATATTTTCACATTAAAAACTTTTTTCTCTGTATTGTACCTGTTTGCTGCGTCAAGAGAAATGCTTGTACTACCTTAGGCTGCCTAGAGACAGGACCCGCTTCAGAATTTTTTCCCCATAGATAGCAGTGCATTGCATGAACCCATCCAGCCACAGAATGATACTTAACTACTTTTAACAATGAGACTGGAGCCACAGTCAGTGGTTTGAAGGTATGCCAGGTTGTACAGTAGCAGGTTCTTATTGTAGTTCGTAAGAAGCTGAAGGCAGTTACACTGGTGCAAGATAAGTATTAGTGAAAGTCTTAGCTATAGGTTCAAAACCTGATTACTGCTTTCCACAGTGGACCAAGGCTCACTCGGTCCTTTTTGTTCCCTAATGATGCTCCTGTTTTCATTTTCTGAAGTATTTCAGTATATATAAAATCAGAAGATCAGTTCAGGGAGCATCAAAGCTTAAAGACTTTGTTATAATTAAACTTCTTTTTAAGGTAAGTGATTTTATTTCTGAGATTAGTGGTAGCTTTTTCCTTAGTAGAAAAGCATATGTAACCTAATAGTGAACAGGGTCATCCCGGAGAGCTTATTAAATGTGGATATTTCTTGTGTTGTTCCAGTTGTGATCGTGGTCCTGGTTTGGGCTGTGGTTTGGTCCATCACTGGGACTGAGTGCCTCCCAGGTGGAAACCTGTTTGGAATTCTGTTTCTTTATTTTTTTGCTGTCATCGGAGGTAAAATTTTTGGACTCATTAAAATACGAACGCTGCCTCCTCTCCCCGCTCTTCTCGGTAAGACATTCTTCCTTCTTTTCTTGCTATGTAGTTTAATTGTTCAGACAGTCAGGTAATATCTACCTAGTAGGTATATTAGGATTGGAAGCATGCAAACTGCATCCTGCTCAAAATGTGTAGCTTTTTCCAAGTGATTTGTATCTAGTCCTCTCGGAGAAGGTGCAAAATCTCCCAAACTGGTCCAGATGAAATAGTGCATATGTTACTGAGACTTTTTGAATTCTTGGAGGGCCAGAGAATTGTATACCCAGACATTCAAAGTTTACTGTCCTTTCGATCTCTTTTATCATGGTTTCTTAAAATCTGTTTATAATACCACTAAACAGCAGCCTTAGTCTCGACCTCCTGTTAGAATGGAATAATTAATTCATAAAGAAATTATTACTGAGCTGTTTTGCATGCATCTCATGCAGGCCATGAAAGTGCTTTCCAAAGAAAATGCTAACAGGATTCCTTTCTATAAATCCAAAAGCAATTTTTTTTTTTTGCTATCGTTATGTCAAGTAACTGAAACCTGAAAAATTAAATTCACAACGAATACTTATTCTTAAAGTTGATTTTGACTCAATCATAAGTGTTTCATATCAACATCTTATTTTATTTTACATAAGACATTGTCATTTTACATAAAATTGTAAAATACAATGGGAGATAAGAATGACATTAATTTTGACCTTCTTAGAATATTTTCAAACTTCTTTCCTAGAGGAGATTTTGGTTAGATCAGTACAGTACTGTAAAGTACTTTGCAATGCCAGTGGAGCTGAAAGCTAGCTGAAAAGCACAGATGTGACTTGAAACCTGCATGTTTGCGGTGTAGCGCCTCACACAATCCTAGTGGTTACAGAAGAAGGGCTAGATAGCTTTTACACAGTACTGTTCTGGCGGCATGTGTGTTCTGGCACTGCTTAGTTTCGCAAATGAGAACAAATTCAAAGGAGAGGGAGGATTTGCATGTAGTGTGCATGCCTGCAATAACGTGAACACAGACTTGAGCAAGCAGGAAGCTTGTCCCTTCTAAGTAAAAACCCATCCCCCCTTAAAGAAAAACTATGATTTCTGACCATTTGGATTCTGCTTTTTAATTACATTTGTATCTGAAAGTTACGAGTGAGCATGAAGCTGCTTGTCAGACAGGTAACAGAACAGAACAACAGAAACTCGAGCGTGACAGCACACGTCAGTTGAGTTGCTCAGGACAGAGTTCGTTGTTCAGATTCCCAGTCTTTGAGGCAAATTGGAGAAATCTGTGAGTCAGAAGAAAAAAAGAAAATGTGTTTGAATATTCTGTTCAACATTAAAAATACAAATCTCGTACTCTGACATATGACTTCTTGCCTTTGATCCATCTGTACCAGGTGCAGGAGTTTAATGTGGCTCTCGGCCCTATGTAACTCATGGTGAGCCTCTATCTTTGAAGAAAAGGGAATGAAATTGTCACTGAAACAATCAGATAGACATAGTACACTTTAGGTGTATATTGCAGAGAGATCTCTGCAGCAGGCAATATGGAGCAGAACAGTAAAGATATCCTTTTAAAGTGGGTTTTTTGCTTTGTTAAGCAGATTTCCAGATCTGGGCAGCTCCAGCGGCCTGGACCTCACGCAAACATTGCACAGGGCACGTGATCGTTATGTTAGCCCACAGGCTGATATAATTAATCTGCAGTGCCTCATGATAATTATACCACTTTTTTTTTTTTTCCCCCTAGGAGAGTGTAGGAAGATCAATATCCAAAAGTTTATAGAGTGCTTCAGGACAAATCAAGTCCACAGCCAAAGCTTACAGGCTTACACCAAGCTGTGAGCAACCTATGCACAGTGTGTGTTTACTTTTGGTCTTTCTTGGTTTCCCATTTCTTAATATGGCTAATAAGAAGTTATGCCACAAAAAATGCATCTTTAAATCAGGCCTTATAGTGGGGAATTTTTGCAGGTTATATTTGAAGTTATCCTTTTGCATACTTTTCTGCCCCTTTCCAAGACTATAGTTCAGATAGCAAAACTGTCTAATCAGAGACCTCCTGCAAAGCTAATATTTGCAAAAGGCTGGATCTTGGAAGTGGATCAAATAGAGAATAAGAGCAAGTTCCTGATTTCCCCCCTCCACCCTTTGCATAAATGTTGCACTGCCAGAGCATTTTAAAATCTGTTACTTCATGATCAGCCATTTTAGATTAGATTTCCCAAGGAACTCGGCTTTATGGTTCCTGTGATACCTGCGTTCCTTCCTAGGAGGGTCTTAACAATTTTCAGTTCGTGAAATAAATGTCTAATTTTAGATCAATTTTTTTTTGTTTTCTATAGTTAAAACAAACTAATAGGAAAAATACCTTTTAAGGATGCAGAAGTGTCTCTGTGCATGGTACGTATGACCTGCACTTGTTGGACGAAGCTGAATTCTGTTTGCTCTTGCTAGAGCTATGTTTCAGCGTCCTGCAGATGTCTACATTGGTAACCTGGTGTGTCCTAAACCTCTTTCATTGCTTTAAACACATCTCTGTCTTTCCTTGCCTCAGTCCTCATCCTTAAAATGATGCTGATGATACAGAGCAGGAATTGTTTCTTTGTCTCTCGTGAATATATGCATAATGCAGTACATCTGCTTTTAAGAATTGTAGGTAAGCCTGTAATGCAGTTTAAAAAAAAACACTAATTTGACAGCAGCTTGTTTGTTTTTCTTTAAGGGATGTTACTTGCTGGTTTTTTCATCCGAAATACCCCAGTCATCAGTGACATCATCCAAATAAACCTTCGGTGGTCTGCGGCATTGAGGAATATTGCTCTTTCCATTATCTTGACCCGAGCTGGACTTGGCCTGGATCCAAAGGTACGGGACCAGCTATTTGTGAAGCAAAACATAGTAGTCTTCAAAGATATTAAATAATTGGTTCTGTTAAAAGTATTGAAATGTTCAGTCTTAAAGAATTTACAAATTAGAGCATTACAGAAGGCATAGTTTCTATTGTACAGTCATATGTTAACCACAGTTGGCAGTTAGATTTGTAGAATAGGTGAGCAATCCAAAAAAAAAAATACCTGAAGAAATCTGATTTGTCTGCCTTCCCCTTTATATTAGGAAAAATATATATATTCTGACCTTTGTGAGCAGGACATCTTGAAGACATGCAGTCCTTCATGATGGGTCAGGAAGAGTTTACGCTCCCTGACAAACTCCTTTTGTGTTTTACACTGATAAATCATAACAAATAATGAAGGGAGCCTCAGTCCTAGAAGGAGAATATTGTTTGTGGTGACACTGATCAAAAAAAATCTTCAGGTTTTGTTTACTTTTTTGCACTCATTACAAGTTTTGTGCAAACCTATTAATATTGAAGATTGTTCCTGTAGTGCAGCTGGAATCATGCTTCACTTTACACAAAGCCCATAATGCTTCTGTGAACAAAAAGCGGTTCTCTTCTACACACTGTAGAACTTGATATTCTATATATTAATGAAGGCAAGATTTTGCTTGATCAAACTCAGCTGGCTGAAATAAAGTTAAATCATTATTGACCCCTATCTATTCAAGCTTCAGGAGCTGTTTAAGGTTTATATAAAATTTAGGTCAAGTTTAACTAGCTCAGGTCAACTAAACTGATTTTCTTAACCAAGGATAAAGATTAGAGTTGCCAATGCTTAAGACTTTTCTAAAATAGAGTTCTGTTATTCTTTAAATTGCCCATTTTCCTGGATTACTATTGTCCACTTTGTCAAGATGTTACAGTTTGCATTAGCATGGATTGTGCATTGTTAAACACAGCTTAGATGCCCACTTCTATGAGATTGCTTTTCTCTCTGATCTTTGAAAACTTTTTTGGCCAAAGGAAATCTGTCTTTGACTCATGTTTCTGCCATGTGGCGATCCAAACTAAGTCATTTGGACTCTGTATGGAGCAACTGGAAAGACAAAGATTCTGGTGATTCTCAGGCCTAACTGTGACGGGATAAATTGTGCTAGTGAAGACTGTAGCTCGTGATTTTTTTTTCCAATGTCAGAGCTAAGGAAATCTGCTTGTCCTAGCAGAGTTGCGTTTGTGACTAATAAAGGCTGTAATGAGCAAATACTCTGTTTTAGAAAAGTTGCTGGACAGAAATTGCTGAGCCAAATGTAGCTTATGCTGTCCTGGATATCAAACAGGAGGCAGTTGAAAGAGGTGCTTGGCTCCTTTCTCAACGTTTAAGTAGTTCTACAGCTTTTCATGATATGTTCGTAGACCTTGGGATCATTTTTGGGGGTGCTCATACAACTTGTGGGATTATGTCAAAATACAATGTTTCGTGGGCAGAGCAAAGGACCTAGAGTAACTGCGAGTGAGTCAGTTGTGTTAGGGGTGCGCTTTTCAAATGGATCCCAGCTACTTCAGCCTCTGGCATTTAGTTTGCTCTGCACAAGAAGCCAAGAAGAATTCTCTGTCTCTCTGTACTCAGATGTGCAGGATCCTTATGAAAGCCAGATCCAGTGGGTTTCACTGCTATGCTTGTGATTTTAAATCCAAATCTGGTTGTGCTTGAGCCTGTCTCTGGCTTAAGACTTGTAAAAACTATCATAAACTGTACTGCAGCTCAAAGGGGGTTCTTTAGTAAACCATATCTGATCTTAAATATTTTTTTTCTCTCTATGATGCCACAGGTACTGATACTAATATCTGAATGTGCTTATATTACAGGCTCTTAAGAAGCTGAAAGCAGTTTGTTTACGGCTGTCTTTTGGACCATGCATCTCGGAGACGTGCACAGCTGCTGTTCTTGCCTACTTGTTCATGCATTTACCATGGCAGTGGGGTTTTATATTAGGGTAACAAACTCTTTTTCTCCTGTATAACAAAGGTGACTGTTTTCCTGCTTCAGCTAAGAGATCCAAACACAGTTTTATTTCTCTGACAATCAGGGACCTCAGTTTAATGCCAGTTAACAGTGGTCTGCTCTGTGGTGAAATATGATGGAAGACGTGCTTAGTCCCTGTGGTTGTTTGTTTACTATCCCTATCTGGCTCTGTGGCTGATTTAAAGGTCATGTTACCAGGCTGTGGAGGAGTACTTGCATCATTACTCTTTTGTTTGTGATCTGGGCCCTTAAAGAAGGAAGAAGGATGATGCAATCCCTTTTTAACCACAGCACGGAGGGGCTTTAGGGACCGAAAATGATACCACAGTAGGAAGAATCTTTGTTCTGCAATTCAAAACTTCCACTTGAAGAGACGCACATAAGACAGTCTCCCTGTCATAGTTGAGAGTAAGGATATGGCATTCTGGAATATCCTCCTCATCGAGGACCTTTCACATCTAGATTCTGTCTAAACTGGTAGACTCAGGCCAGATCTGTATATTGGAGGAAGGTGGATGATTTTCTCCTTCTCTGCCACATGCTGATTTTCATGAGAAGAAACTAGACTCCTGAGTCATAAGCATGCCTAGATCAGGTGCCTCAATTGGACAAGGTATATTGGGGATATATCAGGGCACACACCTGGCTTGCAGCGTAGACTCAAGTCCTAGTCCACGGAGCTCTTTATTTTCTATATACCATTGAGCTGGTAGGAAGTAAAAGCTGACTGTGAATCTGCATAGAAATACCTTGTAATTGACAAGGAAAGATAAAACATCTCAAAGGTCTGTGTATTTAGGCTTGAAAAGAAGCAGAGTCGGAATGCTTTGAGGTGTTTTGGGTTGGTTTTTTTTCAGTTATTTTTGAGAGAGAATGAAACAATGTGTGTTCAGTTTTGTTCTAGGTGCTGTTTCCCCTGCTGTCGTGGTGCCCTCAATGCTGATATTACAAGCAGGGGGATATGGGGTGGAGAAAGGTGTCCCAACTCTGCTAATGGCTGCCGGCAGCATTGATGACATCTTGGCCATTACAGGTTTCAACACCTGCCTTGGGATGGCTTTCTCTTCCGGTATGCTTGTTAATCTGTAGTTGGTGAAAGCCAGAACAAACGGTCTCATTTTGAAGAATGTGTGTTCTGTTATGACTGACTGGTTCGTATCTTAACAATACCCCCATATATCAAAAGTCTTGATGTAATTTTGTCTGCTCTCAGAAGTTGTGGGTCGCAAAAAACTCTGGGAGAACTTTTTCCCCTGACTGCTCTCTGGGCTGTCAGCTCTGGTCCCTGCAGTCCCAGCATAAGTGCTTTCAAACTTCCCTGGGTCTGGCTGTGCTCTAGCAGTGGCTCTTTCTCTGGCACGCTTTCTTGGCATGAGCTTGTAAAGAGAGAAAGCCACACTATCCAGTTCTTTCAGGCCCGTAATTCCCTCATGAACCCCTTTGCTCCCAAATAATTTAAATACCCTCATAGGTCTAACAGTGTTTATGACTGAAGGGTCTGCAGGTGAAGAGTTACTGAACCCGTTCAGCTTTTGCCAATAGGTTCTACTCTGTACAACGTGCTCCGCGGAGTGCTGGAGGTTGCTGTCGGCATAGCAGCTGGGGGGATTCTGGGAATATTTCTTCGGTATTTCCCAAGCCATGATCAGGTAAAAACTAAGATTTGATTTTTTTGGAGGTTCTCTTTAAGAGGATACTATTCTTAAATTAGTAATTCCCAAGCTTTGAATGAAGCTGTTTTGGAGGAAAGCTGTGTACAGTGCTAATAGCTTCCAGATTGTAAATCCCATGAAGTTCTGTGTTTTATAGTAGACTACTTGTTTACTGCAACAATAACAATACATGATCTCGGAGTTCTTCCCAGTGCAGACAGTGGGGAACCCCTGCTCACCGTCATGGTCCCATTGAAGCTGGTGGAAGCGTTCACACATGAAGGGAAAAGAGTCTGATTCCTATTGCACACAGTAAAATAATCAATAGGATTGATATGCTTCACGTTGTCTTCTATAAGACATTTCCAGTAGGTACAAGAGCAAAAAGGAGCAAAATAGACAGATAATGATATGCCAAATTACTTAAAGCCCGTGAACACTGATTAGAACATCTGATTAGCCTTCAATAAAAACTGAGCTTATATAGAGTGATAGATGAGTTTGACTTCAAGTGACAATTAACTGAACAGAAATTTGTGCAAGAAAGATCCATTCTGGATTACTGAGGTCAATTTGAAAAGCATCTAAAGCCCTCAGTGGGACCAAATTTTCTTCTTACTAAGTAATATGAAAAATGTGGTACAGAAGCCCACCTGATAAATAGAAATGGTAGAGCAGAGCTGCAGAGTTCATATGATATAACTTGTCTGCAGTGAGACTAGATCAAATAAACCCAGACTATTCCTGACAGATGTTTGTTCAACTTGTCCTTAAAAACGTCTAGTGGCAAGGATTCCACGCCTCCTTGGATAAACTGTTCTAGTACTTGACTGTACAGTTATCACAGAGTTGAAGTAGGGCTGTTAGAACAGAATATCGTGTACCTTGTGCTACAAAAAGCTGTTTGTGCACAAAGATTTCAGAGAGGCAGAGGAAAAGAAATATTAAACTTTGAGACTGAGTAGTTTCAACCCACATGAGTAGTTCAAGTCCTACTTGAACCCAAATGAGTAGTTCAAGTCCTACTTGAAAGCTTTGATTCCTTCATTATGATACCTTTTGTTACTGTCAAAATGAAAAGTAGTAACATTTTTTTCCCTCCGTTTGTAAAATGGATTTTTTTTTGTTCATTTCTTTCCTTTGTTGCAGACATCTCTGGCATGGAAGAGATCGTATTTTGTTCTGGGTCTGTCCATGTTTGCTGTTTTTGGCAGCATCTACTTCGGCTTCCCTGGATCAGGAGGGCTCTGCACGTTAGTCTTAGCTTTTGTTGCAGGTGTGGGATGGTCGGATGAAAAGGTGAATGTTTCCATAAATAAGCATGCCACACCAAAACTCACTGAATGCACAGCCTAAACAGGAGTTTGGACTTCTGGCAGGAGCGGTAATGGTGCGCTTGCGAAGCTTTAAGGGATGCACAGATTTAAGCACTATTATGTCCTAATTTTGGAAGTCTTTAACATTTAGCGTAACAGAGTTACGGTCTGTGTCTGTATGTGTCAATACAGAGCGTAACATATACTGGCGGAGAAAAGCTCACTTAGGAGCTTATTTTAGACACCAGCACGTTACCTCTTAAGCCCTGTTAAGGTTTACTTTTCAAGTCACTTGACTAGGAGTCCAAAGCTTTATGTCCCAGCCCTGTGACAGGCTCCCTAGCCTTACAAAGCTGCCTAAGGTCAGACTTGGAAATAGGTGCCCAGATAGTGCACCTATAGCAACTATAGTGCGCCTGGCCTGAATGCCCTGGGCTTTTTTCCCCTGTGATTTTGGGGGGTGAAGAGGGAAAACAATAATAAGCCATCATCTCATGTCTCCCAAATCCTGGGCAGTGCCCACGTTAAATGGTGATGTAAAGCCATACAAGCTTTCATACAAAGGTACATACAAAAAACACACCAAAGACTGCTCCCATTTACCGTAGCTGTCTTATCAGATACAGCCAGAGAG